GTGATAGGAACCCGATCCTGTGGCTTGGCGGACTTCCACAATACGAAGTCTTCTGGAGACTCCTTCAGCCCGCCGACCTGCTCGGGGCCGCATGGGCCGCAGCTTGGGTTCGGATCCCATGTCGAAGCCCCCGGTGCTCAGACTTCACGTGCGGGGTACCCTGCCGTTCGGCAGCGACATCATGTTCCACTTCCTGCACTGTAATGCCTGCTGCTAGGTTTCATGACGATGCTTCTAACTTCGTGGCTAGCACGGCTGTCGCTCTCTGGTTCCGTCTCGCTGCCGTGCATCTGCTTCGCGTTGCATGATGGGGTCAGTCGACATGCCACGTAAGTCTTCCTGGTGCGCCTCGAGATCTCAACTGACGCTTGAAAACGGGCTTTCATCTAAAAAAAGAACCTGGAGATCCAAGAGCTACCCTCAAGCCTTTCGGAACACTAAGATCTGTCATAATGGACCACCCCCGATTCGCAGCCAATAAGACGCCCCAGCAGGCCTTCAGCCTTCATTGAAAACCTGTGGTGAGTCGACCTAGACGCCGCCGAACCACCACGGGCCCGTGTTGGTGCTTTTGCAGGCGCGTCCGGCCTGGACCCTGGCACCCGCCTCATTGCCTTCCAGGCTGCACCTTCGCTTGGGTTTTGGGGCCTAGGCCTGCGGCCCGAGGGCCGCAGGACCCTCGTTGAATCTTGGCGAATTTCGTTCGTTGCAACTTGGATATACTTGTGCCGGTCTGGTAGGCATTTGTGCTCATAGACGATGGCCATGACACCGTGAGCAATGGGAATGCTGCCGGGAACTGTGCGACATGATTGCTCCAACGTTGGTGGAGTCCTTCTACCACGAGTGCTGCTGCTACACGTACTGATACTGCTATCACCACCACCCACCAACAACCAAACCAACGACAACATCAATCACAACGACACCACCACCACCACCACCACCACCACCACCACCACAGCGACGACGACGACGACCTCGACGACAATGACACGCACAAGGATGACAACCTTTCGACTGGCGGCACTTGTAGCATCAAGACGACAGCCACCAAACAAGGTGTGCTCTGGCTTTCGCGTCCACACATCTGTGAGAATTATTCAGAGCCAGCGAGTTCAACACAAAGACCTAGAAAGACTCATCCAGCAAAACTGTCTCTACGCCAGATCAATGAGATGATCTTCGACTCGTCAAGCTAGATTTCGACAACACTCCCGCCTGGACAATCGGCCGTATTCCTGAAATCGCCGAACGCCTGGGCCACAGAACCACAAGACGATCGCGCTTGGGAGTTCTCGAGACAAGAAGGATCAGAAGGCCTTGCATTCTCCTCTTTCGTCCGGAGTGGCATGCAACCGACAGTCGACTTCATTCAGTTCTTCCGAGGAGACCATGGGTTGAGTAGAAGTCGAAAGGATCATGGCGACACTGGGGCGTCTCAAACCTCACTTGCGACGGACATGAGAAAAAGACTGATGGACTCTCAAGCGTCTAGGATCGGACCAGGGTTTGCAGACTGCAGCTTGCATTGTGGTGTACTACGCCTGAAGAAGTTGCATGCAAGTGGCGGAAATAGACATCGCCACCGTCAGCCTCCGGCGCCTTGCGAGGTGTTGACAAGTGTCTCGAGTGCTGCGGGGTGCTCTGGCCGACGAGGACTAGATTCATGTGACAAGCGACTTGGCTTCTGAAGCTCGAAGCAACTGTACAGTTCTAGAACAGGACACCTGTGCCGTGGGCAGCAGAAAGAGCAGCCAAAGCCCTCCATCCCAATTTCAATGCTATGAAAAGTCATATTGTGAAGCACCTTGAAGCAAAACTGATAGTGACTTCATTGTAAACAGGAGACGTATCAGCAGCCAAATAATCTCTGGGTCATGCTGCACTTTGAAACCGTCTTCCTGCTCCGTTGCATGCAACTGCCTGCTTGTGGACATTTGTGGACTTCAGGCACCTCTCTGATGCTAGTTGCCTGATTGCATCCGAACTTTTCTGCGCTTAAGCCTCCTTGCCCACGTAGGCAAACTCCTTGTCGACCAACGTGCCTCAGCTCGCTGCATTTACATTGGCGAGAGTTCTGGAGCTTGCTTCCGTGCCGAGGGATTTGGATGCAAAGGCGGCATGCTTACACATGACCCCAGAGCAATGGAAGACTTTGAAGAAGCTGTCGACGGGGCCAGAAGGCATCCCTGTGCCATCACTTCGGTGCTGGTGTGATGAAATAGGCCCAGTGAGTCGATGAATGCTAGGGTCTTGGCCAACCATGTTCTTGATCTCAGTCAGATTCTCGGAGACTCGCCTCGGCGCAGCCAGGGAGGTGGTCCCCTGCTGAGGAAGCGCATGGCTTGAGCTGGGTTTGAGGGTCGAGTCGCCCAGGCGGAAGTTCGATTTTTCCGAGTTTCCGGGACTTGCGCTTGAGCCTTTTGAGTATTCAACTTCCTTTAGGCAGGCTTGAAGCGATTCCTGTACAAGAGAGTTCTGCAAGCTCAAATACCCACTTCACAAGCCAAGCTGCGGTTCGAAATCCGGAGGATTGCAGCCAAGACCTTGGCACGAAGGCAAGCCCAGTTCATCAAGGATTGTAAGGGGCGTAGCGGGTTAGGTGTTTCCGTTCGCATGAAGTCCTTTGAGCATCACCCATGAACCCGGCACCTCGGGGGCACCTCAGGGACGTCAACCCGGAAGTGTCTCGGGCTTTGGCTTGCGGCGTCGGCCTGCATTTCTTTCTCCATCCTGTTGACAGAAGAGCAGCACTGCATCAGCTACAAGTTGCTTCTCGACCGGTCCAAGTGTTCCAGGGGATTCCCTTGTCTATGCCTTTCACATGCACATACAAGCACTACATACTGAGGGCTGCAGACCTGCGACCCTTCTATCCATGCTCACTCAAATAAGGCCGTCTGCGCAACATGCAGCTAAACAAGGATCCCTGTATACTGTTTACGACCATGAAAGCCGTTAAGTGCATGATCGACAACTCCGACCACGGACCCTGCCTGACAAAGACGTCACAACATCGAAATCATCCAGCGCACAAGACCTTACAAACGTCACACAAGGAACAATAAAACCCTTAAGTACACGGTAAACCTTTTCAACCTCAGAAAAGAAGGTTCTGAAAGACCCGGCCCCGGAACCTCAAGAAGAGAGTCCTACCTGAGGTTTCAACTAGAGGCCCTTACTTAAAACACTTCAGGTTAGGCTCCTTTGTTATTTTGTGAGACTCCCCGAAAGGCCTGCGGGCCAATGCTTCCGCCTGTGTGCAAAGGCGAGTGAAGAGGAGCCAGGCAAGATTCCACGCAAAAAATTGCTAGCTGAGAGTGTCACGTCGGCTGCGAGCAGAGGAAAATGAACATGCGCAAAGTTTCGAATGCTCTATATGCCAAGTCGTTGAACAAAGTCACGGAAAAGCCATTGCACAAAACAGCAGCGAACAAATCCAGAAACATGATGTTCCAATTCAAAAATACATGCATATGAACCTGCCTGCTTGCCTGCCTGCCTGCTTGCCTGCCTGCCTGGCTCTTTGCCTGTCTTTCGGTATGCGTACCTGTGCTTCTGTATGTATCTTTATGAACACGTGGGGTACATCGTCAATATGCTCTGTGTCATCGTTCCAGGAGTAGCACAAGAAAAGAAGCAGCCATAAAAGAGCAGTCGTCGTCATGGCGGCAACAGCAGGCTTCCGAGGGGAAGGAGGATGAGGAGGAGGAGGAACTGTCCAAGCATAGTTTCGGCAGCAACTACAATGCTCGCATGGTTTGAACAGCTGGTGTTTGTCTTCACTGTCATCCCCCCTTCTGGTCGGGGTGGTGCCTTCAGTTACAAGGGAATACTGTACTGATTGAGTCTGCGCAGCCAACAGGGATCAGCTGAGCCTGCTTTCTCCCTGAGTCATGCTGCCGGTGCGTGTGTGCGTGTTTGTTCGGCCACCCGCACCCCAAGCCCTTTCTCCGAGCCAGTGCTCCCAGCTGAGAAACTTAGTACCCGTGTGAGAGGGATGTAGAGGGATCACAGCTTCTGTTCCTGAGAAGTGGGCTGTCTTGCCAAGTGCCCAAATCCAACCCAAGCCGTGCAGCCAGGGGGACGCGCCCACGGAGGTTCAGGTGGAGCTTTTCCCTGCTTGGATTGAGGGGCTCGGAGCGTCAGGGGGGAAGAGACGGCAGGAGGGAACGTTTCCGTTGGGACAAAGTGCACCCCAGGCCATCCACTCACTCACTCACTCACTCACTCACTCACTCACTTACTCACGCTTCACCGTCATCACGGCCAGCATACCTGCCAGCAGAATCATCAGCACGATGATGATGATCATCATCAGCAGCATCATGAACATCAACAGCAACGTCATCATCATCATCACCATCATCATCGTCATCGTCATCGTCCTCCTCCTCATCATCATGGGTATCAATGTATTACTCCTCATCTTTCGCTACCCCCTCATCATCAACGCAGGGTCACCACCCTGCACCATCACTGGGTTGTCACCTGGATCATCTTCATGACACTCACCGTCATCGCCATCGTCACCACATCATCGCCACCCAAGCCATGCATCATCACGCATGACAATCATGCGCCAAATTGTCACGGAATGTCGCATCCTGAATTTCATTGCGCTTCGTTGCACAGACCGACGTCGTGAACGTACTTCAGCGCTGGCTTTTTCGATACATGGATTGTAAAGTTCATCTTTGAATTGATGTTGCATCATCCGGCCCACCTGGGCAGGTTGTGTTTCTGTCGTGCTGAGGTGGCGACGGTCTCTCCATTCTCCAAGCTTCGCTTAATGATCTTGTCGTCCTGGGCAGGAGGAGAAATAGAAACGTTGCACCTTGATGGTTCAAACGTTAGACTCGAGCTGGCCAACAATAGACGCAGCCGCAATGTACCGAATCCTGCACTTTATCTGTGTCCGTCGCATGCCCTGACACCTGGAACAGCGTACCACTGTCACGGTGTCCATTGATCTGCACTTAATTCGGCTTGGGCTCGATGTCCGTGACATTGCGGACGAAGGTCACTTTGTAGCCCATGTGCCTCCGCAAACAGGACTGGAAGGGATGTGGGCACTAGCTGAAGCCTTCGGCTTTCAAAAGCTTTCGTTTTGGTGCCTATCCCAACAACGCACTCCGAAGTCGGCAAAACCTCGACTGAACCCCGGAGCTTGAGGTGCTGGAGTTGCCGACGGCATACTGCCTAGTAGAGTGAGGAGGCCCGGCTCAGAATCTGAATCGGAGGCCTCGTCCTTAGAGTAGCTTCCTGTATTCCTGTGGCCTCATGAAGCGGACAGCGGTGTCGAAGAAGACCATCACTCGTGCATGACCTCGAGCACGCGACATCAAGCGACTTTGCAACCGAGACGGGAATCAACGTCTTTCAACATCCAACTCATGCACTTGATGCCAGCGGGCCTATGTGGCAAAGGTCATAGACGGTCACGCCACCTCGAGTGCTGCTCTGTGAATCAATGACTGGTGCAGCTGATGCCTGCTTGGTACTTATGATGCAAAGTGTTGTGCTGAGCGTCATCGCAAAGTAGCTCTCGAGACTCGGGGACAGTTGGAGCAAAGCCAAATAAACGCGCTGAGAAACAGCGCCTGAGTCCTCGTGGGGGCTATCGGGCCTGAACCTGCCTGCACAAAGCTCTGACGATCCAGACCTGGCACGGAGCTCGCAACCAGCTCAGGAGGTGGCACACGTACATCTTGACCACGCCGGGCTCTAGGGTAGTGAACCTTCGGATGGTGTGGAGGTGATCACTCTTAGCACTCTCAAAGCCGCTCTTGCTCCAGTCATGGCCCTGAGCAGCGAGCTTTTCCTTCGACCGTGTGAGCCTCGCAGAAATGGAACCGCACAGACTGGCTAAAAGCGATCCTTCCGAGGTGCAAATGATTTTCTGCGGCCGCGATGCGTGTTGTAGATCTGAAGCTCCGGAGCCAATGACTCTTCGACTGCAGCCTGAAGAAAGGGAACAAGTTCAACTCGGCAGGCCTTGCCCAGATCGCTGAACCCCCCAAACCAAAGACCCACGTGATACAGACCCAGGCCTCCTTTTCGACTGCTTTTTGGGCAGCGCCCCCGCGCAACAGCTCGTCGACCTTGTCGTTCATCAGCTTGAACCTCAAGCGCGGGGCAGAAAAACCTTCCAAAACTTGCATCTACAGGCTACACGTCCAACAAAGCACGAGGAGGCCCTGCACTGCTGTGCCCCCCGGTCACGTTCTCTGCTGAAGTTTTGATTCATCTATTCTGGGGTTGGTTAGCAAGACAAGTGGCCAAGTCCGAGAGAACACCTTGCAGAAACCTGTCCTATGACGCCAAACAAATAGACGGCCTCGCTGCAACAGAACAACAATTCAACAACTCCCTGTATGTTACTGTTGGGGACTTACTGGTCCCCGTTAACAAAACTGGGAAACTCTTGCGGCCCCCAAAAGCAGAGACAAAACCACGACTGCTGCTACTACTACTGCTGCTGCTACTTCTGCTGGCGCTACTCGTACTGCTACTGCCAATACTAGCAGCACCAGTAGTCGTAGTCGTCGCGGCAGTCGCAGTAGTCGTAGTAGTAGCAGTCGTCGTCGTAGTAGTAGTAGTAGTAGTAGCAGTAGCAGTAGCAGTACCAGTAGCAGTAGCAGTAGGAGTAGTAGTAGTAGTAGTAGTAGTAGTAGTAGTAGGGTGTCCCCCCCCCCGGTGCGACGCCCAGACCTCTTATTTTTTGGCTTTGTTGTGGTCGGAAATGCTGGTATTTACAGC